TTTGCAGCTTCGTCCTCCTCTTGGTCGGTTGATTCGTCGCCGGAATCGCCACCCCAAGAGATGTAGGCCCTTTGCTTCTTGAAGCCAGGCTTGTCCTTGCCGTGTTTGGCCTTTGGACACCTTGGCTTGATGTGCCCAATCTCGCCACAGCCGTAGCATTTGGGAGGACCGTCGTGCTTCCTTCCCTTCCGCTCAAATTCCTTCTTCATGAACTTGTGAAACTTCTTGATGACGAGCCCGAATTCATTGTCGTCATCGCTTGAAGCCTCTTCCACCGGTTCCTTGGTGGCTTTCAGCGCTATTCCCTTCTTCTTTTGTTCATCCAAAGACGGGGTTAGAATAGTAGATTCATAGGTTTTAAGGTTACCTCTTAGCCCGTCGATGGTGACGTTGGAGACTCCGATGGATTCGTAGATTGCATCGGCTTTTGACCTCCATTCGGGTGTGAGGCTCCGCAGGATTTTCCTCACAAGATCCTTGTTGGTGTAGGTCTTTTTGAGGGCATGAAGATCATTGATTATCTTTGAGAACCGGTCGAACATGTCATCAATTTTCTCACCTTCTTTCATCCGGAACATTTCGTACTCTTGGGTGAGAAAGTCGATCTTGGCTTCGCGAACTTGATCGGTACCTTCGTACGTCACTTCAAGCTTGTCCCACATCTCCTTGGCGGTCGTGCAACAGGAGATCTTTCGGTAGTCATCGGGGTTGACCGCGCAATATAACATATTGATGGCCTTTGCATAGTTTTCGACCTTCTTGATGTCCTCGGCATCAAATTCGTCTTCGGTCTTTGGGACCGTGGTTTCTCCCACTTTCTTCATAGGAATTTCTTCGCCATTTTTGATCACCAACCACAATTGGAAATTGGTGGAACGAATATAGATTCTCATCCGTTCCTTCCAATAGGAGTAGTTGGTTCCATCAAAGAGTGGTGGCCTAGAGGTTGATTGTCCTTCTCCAATTCTTGCATAGAGATTTCTAGAAGAAGAGCCCATGATCGCTTTACTCTCAAACGGTTAAGTTTGGACGCAAGTTAGGCTCTGATACCAATTGTTAGAATAATAGACCAACGCTAGAGGGGGGGTGAATAGCGTTTGATCAAAAATCGCAGGAATAAAAAATGAATAAACGAGAAGTAAAGAGAAGAGTAAGAGGCACACCGATTTTACCCTGGTTCACCACAACTTGTGGCTAATCCAGCCTACTGAGAGACTCTCTCGAGCTACACTACTATCTCGTTAAGCTTAACGGTGCTTAACAAACCCGTACAACTTGAGAATTCGAGTCACACGAACCTCAACGAACCTTCGAAGGAAACAGACCTTCCTTCGAGCAACAAGAGAAATACTTTCTCTTGTCAAGTGTCTAAGAACACTAAAAACACTCAAGAACAATACTCTCTTTAAGAGTGAATAATGAGTAAACTAAGAACGCTCACAACACAAGCTTCACAAAAATGGCTCTCAAAAGCTATGAAAAATTGAAGGATGATTTGCAATGAAAGAGTAGAAGTTGTGAAGTAATGTCATATGTAAAACAGACCCAAACACCCCATTTTATAGTGGAAAAGTAGGCTCCAACGGACCAAAACATTTAAGGGGTGATTGGCACAATTTGTGGGATTTGATTAAAATTGGATCTGCTGAAAATCACCTAGACAGCGCTGTCCTAGGCCTGGACATCGCTGTTCTAGGCTTGGTTTTTTAAAAATTGGGAAGCAACGGTCATGCCAACAGCGATGTCCAAAAAACCCTACATCGCTGTTTTGGCTGTTGACTTCCAAACAAGGAAAGTTTTAGCCTTAAATTCCTTCCAACGGTCAGGTCCCTACATCGATGTCTATAGCTTGAACATCGCTGTTTAGGTCTGACTCTTGAAGATGGACGTTTGGCCTGACAGCGCTGTTGCTGGGTCAACATCGCTGTCCAAAAACTTTCTGCCAATGCACTGTATTTTAGGCTTAGGTTGGACAGCGCTGTAGGGGAGCCTACATCGCTGTTCCAGAAGTCTCTGGAAATCCAACCTTGGCTCAACAGCGATGTCTAAAGTCCAACATCGCTGTTGGAAGACTTAACGCCAAACCATGTTTTTGGTTACCCAGGCCAGACAGCGCTGTTGATTACCCCAACATCGCTGTTGGGCTTGGTTTAGCCAGACCATGGTTGGTTTAGTCACGCCGTTAGCCGATGTCAAAAACGCAAGTTCTCCAAAATAAAAACCAAGTTTAGAAAACATTTGTTTATTGCAATTTGCTAAGAAATCAAGTAAAACATCTTAAAAACCACGTCATTTAGTTGAAAACCACGGCTAGCCAAGTTCGTGCCGTTTCGCATGGTTTTCACTAAACGATCAAAAACGGAAGGTGGTTTTTGAGGCGTTTTTGTTGGAGAACTATTTAAATATGCCCAGAAGTAAAAACCAGTTATAAAAAGTTAAAAACCACTTGGTTGGTTCGGACGCCAAAAACCGATGCCGAAAACCGAGAGCCGAACGCCGGTTTCTGAAAGCCGAACGCCGAATGGCTTGGTTTTTGGCTTGGGCGAACTCCAAGTGTTTTGACCCAAGTTTAAACTTTAAGAAAAGTATTTTTTAATATGTAAAAGAGATTTTTATGAATTAAGCCTAGAGAGCCAAGATTTGGAATTTTGTGCCGGTCTTGATCACATTTAGACCGACTCAGTACAATTCTAGTTCTTCGTTCTTGATTCTGGGTTCTTGGTTCTTAAGTCATCATGCCATGTTCCTTCGCCTTAGTTTTGCTCACTTTAGCTTCGATATGTCGCGGCGGTTTGGCATTATCAAAACCTGTCATAAACGAACACAGTTTAGTGCGACGAAGGCGTAAACCCGTGTTCCAACAGAACTCTAGGGGTACCATCACTTTTTTGGCCAAATTTTAAATTCATCAAAAAAGATTCAAAATTTGAAATGGATCTTTGTGTTTGCATGTAAAATCCTTTCTTAAAGTTTCATGTCAAAAATACTTGTCAATAATGTTTAAATTATTAGTTTTTTAGTTTTGGCCTCGAGCTCTAAGGGTACCATCACATTTTTTTACCAAATTTTAAATTCATCAAAAAAGTTGCAAAATTTGACATGGATCTTTCTGTTTGCATGTAAAATCTTTTTTAAAAGTTTCATGTCAAAAATACTTGTCAATAATGTATAAATTATTTTTTTTAGTTTTGGCATCGAGCTCTAGGGGTACCATCACATTTTTTGACAAAATTTGAAATTCATCAAAAAAGTTGCAAAATTTTACATGGATCTTTATGTTTGCATGTAAAATCCTTTCTTAAAGTTTCATGTCAAAAATACTTGTCAATATTGTATAAATTATTATTTTTTTAATTTGGCCTCGAACGCTAGGGGTACCATCACATTTTTTGACAAAATTTTAAATTTATCAAAAAAGTTGCAAAATTTTACATGGATCTTTCTATTTGCATGTAAAATCCTTTGTAAAAAATTCATGTCAAATATACTTGTTAATAATGTATAAAATATTACTTTTTTATTTTGGCCTCGAGCTCTTGGGGTACCATCACATATTTTGGCCAAATTTTAAATTTATCAAAAAAGTTGCAAAATTTGACACGAATCTTTCTATTTGCATGTATAATCCTTTGTAAAAGTTTCGTGTCAAAAACACTTGTCAATAATATATAAATTATTATTTTTTAGTTTTGGCCCCGAGCTCTAGGAGTACCATCACATTTTTTGGCCAAATTTTAAATTCATCAAAAAAGTTGCAAAATTTGACATGGATCTTTCTGTAAGCATGTAAGATCCTTTGTAAAAGTTTCAAAAGTACTTGTGAATAAAGTATTAATTATTATTTTTTTAGTTTTGGCCTCGAGCTCTATGGATAGTACCATCACATTTTTTGGCCAAATTTTAAATTCATCAAAAAAGTTGCAAAATTGACATGGATCTTTCTGTAAGCATGCAAAATCCTTTGTAAAAGTTTAATGTCAAAAATACTTAATAATAATGTATTATATATTATTTTTTTAATTTTGGCCTCGAGCTCTAGGGGTACCATCACATTTTTTGGCCAAATTTTAAATTCATCAAAAAAGTTGCAAAATTTGACATGGATCTTTCTATTTGCATGTAAAATCCTTTGTAAAAGTTTCATGTCAAAAATACTTTTCTATAATTTTTAAATTATTATTTTTTAGTTTTGGCCTCGAACTCTAGGGGTACAATTACATTTTCTGGCAAAATTTTAAATTCATCAAAATAGTTGCAAAATTTGACATGGATCGTTTTTGTTTGCATGTAAAATCCTTTCTTAAAGTTTCATGTAAAAAATACTTATCAATAATATATAAATTATTTTTTTTTTAGTTTTGGCCTCGAGTTCTAGGGGTACCATCACTTTTTTTGTCTAAATTTTAAATTCATCAAAAAAGTTTCAAAATTTGACATGGATCTTTGTGTTTGCATGTGAAATCCTTTTTAAAAGTTTCATGTCAAAAATACTTGTCAATAATGTATAAAATATTATTTTTTAATTTGGCCTCGAACTCTAGGGGTACCATCACATTTTTTGGTCAAATTTTAAATTCATCAAAAAAGTTGCGAAATTTGACATGAATCTTTCTATTTGCATGTAAAATCGTTTGTAAAAGTTTCATGTGAAAAATACTTGTCAATAATGTATAAATTATTATTTTTTAGTTTTGGCCCCGAGCTCTAGGGGTGCCATCACATTTTTTTGGCCAAATTTTAAATTTATCAAAAAAGTTGCAAAATTTGATATGGATCTTTCTGTAAGCATGTAAGACCCTTTGTAAGAGTTTCAAAAATAATTGTGAATAAAGTATTAATTATTATTTTTTTAGTTTTGGCTTCGAGCTCTATGGATAGTACCATCACATTTTTTGGCAAAATTTTAAATTCATCAAAAAAGTTGCAAAATTTGACATTAATCTTTCTATTTTCATTTAATATCTTTTGTAAAGGTTTCTTGTAAAAAATACATGCCAATAATGTATAAATTATTATTTTTTAGTTTGGCCCCGAGTTCTAGTGTTACTACCATCACATTTTTTGGCCAAATTTTTAATTCATCAAAAAAGTTGCAAAATTTGACATGGATCTTTCTGTAAGCTTGTAAGATCCTTTGTAAAAGTTTCAAAAATACTTGTGAATAAAGTATTAATTATTATTTTTTTAGTTTTGGCTTTGAGCTCTATGGATAGTACCATCACATTTTTTGGCAAAATTTTAAATTCATCAAAAAAGATGCAAAACTTGACATGGAACTTTTTGTTTTCATTTCAAATCCTTTTAAAAAGTTCCATGTCAAAAATACTTGTCAATAATGTATAAATTATTATTTTTTAGTTTTGGCTCCGAGCTCTAGGGGTATCATTACATTTTTTGGCGAAATTTTAAATTGATCAAAAAAGTTGCAAAATTTGACATAGATCTTTGTGTTTGCATGTAAAATCCTTTCTAAAAGTTTCATGTAAAAAATACTTGTCAATAATGTATAAATTATTATTTTTTTAGTTTTGGCCTCGAGCTTTAGGTCTACCATCACTTTTTTTGTCCAAATTTTAAATTCATCAAAAAAGTTTCAAAATTTGACATGGATCTTTGTGTTTGCCTGTGAAACCCTTTCTTAAAATTTCATGTCAAAAAATACTTGTCAATAATGTATAATTTACTATTTTTTTAGTTTTGGCCTCGAGCTCTAGGGGTACCATCACATTTTTTGGCCAAATTTTAAATTCATCAAAAAAAATACAAAAATTTGACATGGATCTTTGTGCTTGCATGTGAAATCCTTTCTTAAAGTTTCATGTCAAAAATACTTACCAATAATGTATAAATTATTATTTTTTAGTTTTGGCCCCGAGCTCTAGGGTTACCATCACATTTTTTGGCCAAATTTTAAATTAATCAAAAAAGTTGAAAAATTTGACATGGGTCTTTCTGTAAGCTTGTAAGATCCTTTGTAAAAGTTTCAAAAATACTTGTGAATAAAGTATTAATTATTATTTTTTTAGTTTTGGCTTTGAGCTCTATGGATAGTACCATCACATTTTTTGGCAAAATTTTAAATTCATCAAAAAAGATGCAAAACTTGACATGGAACTTTTTGTTTTCATTTAAAATCCTTTTAAAAAGTTCCATGTCAAAAATACTTGTCAATAATGTATAAATTATTATTTTTTTATTTTGGCCTCGAGCTCTAGGTGTACCCATCACATTTTTTGGCAAAATTTAAAATTTCATCAAAAAAGTTGCAAAAATTTACATGGATCTTTAAGTTTTCATGTAAAACCGTTTTTAAAAGTTTCATGTCAAAAATACTTGTCAATAATGTATAAATTATTATTTTCTTTAGTTTTGGCCTCGAACTCTAGGGGTACCATCACTTTTTTTGGCCAAATTTTAAATTCGTCAAAAAAGATTCAAAATTTGAAATGGATCTTTGTGTTTGCATGTAAAATCCTTTCTTAAAGTTTCATGTCAAAAATACTTGTCAATAATGTTTAAATTATTAGTTTTTTAGTTTTGGCCTCGAGCTCTAAGGGTACCATCACATTTTTTTACCAAATTTTAAATTCATCAAAAAAGTTGCAAAATTTGACATGGATCTTTCTGTTTGCATGTAAAATCTTTTTTAAAAGTTTCATGTCAAAAATACTTGTCAATAATGTATAAATTATTTTTTTAGTTTTGGCATCGAGCTCTAGGGGTACCATCACATTTTTTGACAAAATTTGAAATTCATCAAAAAAGTTGCAAAATTTTACATGGATCTTTCTGTTTGCATGTAAAATCCTTTCTTAAAGTTTCATGTCAAAAATACTTGTCAATATTGTATAAATTATTATTTTTTTAATTTGGCCTCGAACGCTAGGGGTACCATCACTTTTTTTGACAAAATTTTAAATTTATCAAAAAAGTTGCAAAATTTTACATGGATCTTTCTATTTGCATGTAAAATCCTTTGTAAAAAATTCATGTCAAATATACTTGTTAATAATGTATAAAATATTATTTTTTTATTTTGGCCTCGAGCTCTTGGGGTATCATCACATTTTTTGGCCAAATTTTAAATTTATCAAAAAAGTTGCAAAATTTGACACGAATCTTTCTATTTGCATGTAAAATCCTTTGTAAAAGTTTCGTGTCAAAAACACTTGTCAATAATGTATAAATTATTATTTTTTTAGTTTTGGCTCCGAGCTCTAGGGGTATCATTACATTTTTTCGCGAAATTTTAAGTTAATCAAAAAAGTTGCAAAATTTGACATAGATCTTTGTGTTTGCATGTAAAATCCTTTCCAAAAGTTTCATGTAAAAATACTTGTCAATAATGTATAAATTATTATTTTTTTAGTTTTGGCCTCGAGATTTAGGGGTACCATCACTTTTTTTGTCTAAATTTTAAATTCATCAAAAAAGTTTCAAAATTTGACATGGATCTTTGTGTTTGCATGTAAAATCCTTTCTAAAAGTTTCATGTAAAAAATACTTGTCAATAATGTATAAATTATTATTTTTTTAGTTTTGGCCTCGAGCTCTAGGGATACCATCACTTTTTTTTGGCCAAATTTTAAATTCATCAAAATAGTTTCAAAATTTGACATGGATCTTTCTGTTTGTAAAAGTTTCTTGTCAAAAATACTTATCAATAATGTATAAATTACTATTATTTTTTTGTTTTGGCCTCGAGCTCTAAAGATACCATCACTTTTTTTGGCCAAATTTTAAATTCATCAAAATAGTTTCAAAGTTTGACGAGGATCTTTCTGTTTGTAAAAGTTTCTTGTCAAAAATACTTATCAATAATGTATAAATTATTATTATTTTTTTGTTTTGGCCTCGAGCTATAGGGATACCATTACATTTTTGGCCAAATTTTAAATTCATCAAAAAATTTGCAAAATTTGACATGGATCTTGTTGTTTTCATTTAAAATCCTTTTAAAAAGTTTCATGTCAAAAATACTTGTAAATAATGTATAAATTATTATTTTTTTAGTTTTGGCCTCGAGCTCTAGGAGTACCATCACATTTTTTGGCAAAATTTTAAATTCATCAAAAAAGTTGCAAACTTTTACATGGATCTTTCTGTTTTCATGTAAAATCCTTTTTAAAAGTTTCATGTCAAAAATACTTGTCAATAATGTATAAATTATTATTTTTCAGTTTTGGCCCCGAGCTCTAGGGGTACTATCACATTTCTTGGCCAAATTTTAAATTCATCAAAAAAGTTGCAAAATTTTACATGGATCTTTCTGTTTTCATGTAAAATCTTTTTTAAAAGTTTCATGTCAAAAGTAGTTTTCAATAATGCATAAATTATTATTTTTTAGTTTTGGCCCCGAGCTCTAGGGGTACCATCACATTTCTTGGCCAAATTTTAAATTCATCAAAAAAGTTGCAAAATTTTACATGGATCTTTCTGTTTGCATGTAAAATCTTTTTTAAAAGTTTCATGTCAAAAGTAATTTTCAAAAATGCATAAATTATTATTTTTTAGTTTTGGCCCCGAGCTCCAGGGGTACCATCACATTTTTTGTCCAAATTTTGAATTCATCAAAACAGTTGCAAAATTTGATATGGAACTTTCTATAAGCATGTAAAATTCTTTGTAAAAGTTTCATGTCAAAAATACTTGTCAATAATGTATTAATTATTATTTTTCTAGTTTTGGTCTCGAGCTCTAGGGGTACCATCACATTTTTTGGCAGAATTTTAAATACATCAAAAACTTGCAAAATTTGACATGGATCTTTCTGTTTGCATGTAAAATCCTTTGTAAAAGTTTCATGTCAAAAATACTTGTCTATAATGTATCAATTATTATTTTTTAGTTTTGGCCCCGAGTTCTAGGGGTGCCATCACATTTTTTGACAAAATTTTAAATTCATCAAAAAAGTTTCAAAATTTGACATGGATCTTTGTGTTTGCATGTAAAATCCTTTCTAAAAGTTTCATGTCAAAAATACTTGTCAATAATGTATAAAATATTATTTTTTTATTTAGGGCTCGAGCTCAAGGGGTAGCATCACATTTTTTGGCCAAATTTTAAATTCATAAAAAAGGTTGCAAAATTTGACATGAATATTTCTGTTTGCATGTAAAATCCTTTGTAAAAGTTTCATGTCAAAAATACTTGTTAATAATGTATTAATTATTATTTTTTTAGTTTTGGCCTTGAGCTCAAGGGGTATCATCACATTTTTTGGCCAAATTTTAAATTCATCCAAAACGTTGCAAAATTTGACATTGATCTTTCTTTAAGCATGTAAAATCCTTTGTAAAGTTTTCATGTCAAAAATACTTGTCCATAATATATAAATTATTAATTTTTTTATTTTGGCCTCGACCTCTAGGGTTACCATCACATTTTTTTGCAAAATTTTAAATTCATCAAAAAAAGTTACAAAATTTGACATGGATCTTTCTCTAAGCATGTAAAATCCTTTTTAAAAGTTTAATGTCAAAAATAGTTGTCAATAATGTATAAATTATTATTATTTTTATTTTGGTCTCGAGCTCTAGGGGTACCATTATATTTTTTGTCAAAATTTTAAATTCATCAAAAAAGTTGCAAAACTTGACATGGATCTTTCTCTAAGCATGTAAAATCCTTTTTAAAAGCTTCCTGTTAAAAATACTTGTCAATAATGTATAAAATATTATTTTTTTTATATTGGTCTCGAGCTCTAGGGGTACCATTACATTTTTTGGCAAAATTTTAAATTAATAAAAAAAGTTACAAAATTTTACATGGATCTTTCTCTAAGCATGTAAAATCCTTTTAAAATTTTACATGGATCTTTCATCAAAGTTTCATGTCAAAAATACTTGTCAATAATCTATAAATAATTATTTTTTAGTTTTGGCCTCGAGCTTTAGGGGTACAATCACATTTTTTGGCCAAACTTTAAATTAATCAAAAAATTTGAAAAATTTGACATGGATCTTTTTGTTTTCATTTAAAATCCTTTTAAAAAGTTTCATGTAAAAAATACTTGTCAATAATGTATAAATTATTATTTTTTAATTTTGGCCTCGAGCTCTAGGGGTACCATTACATTTTTTGGCAAAGTTTTAAATTCATCAAAAAGTTTCAAAATTTGACATGGATCTTTCTGTTTCCATGTAAAATCCTTTGTAAAAGTTTCATGTAAAAAATACTTGTCTATAATATATAAATTATTATTTTTAAATTTTGGCCCCGAGCTCTAGGGTTGCATCACATTTTTTGGCAAAATTTTAAATTCATCAAAAATGTTGCAAAATTTTACATGGATGTTTCTGTAAGCATGTAAAATCCTTTTTAAAAGTTTCATGTCAAAAATACTTTTCCATAATGTACAAATTATTTTTTTTATTTTGGCCTCTAGCTATAGGGGTAATATCACATTTTTTGGCAAAATTTTAAATTCATCAAAAAAGTTGCAAAATTTTACATGGATCTTTAGGTTTTCATGTAAAATCCTTTTTAAAAGTTTCATGTCAAAAGTTATTTTCAATAATGTATAAATTATTATTTTTTAGTTTTGGCCCCGAGTTCTAGGGGTATCATCACAATTTTTGTCCAAATTTTAAATTCATCAAAAAAGTTGCAAAATTTGACATGGAACTTTCTATAAGCATGTAAAATTCTTCGTAAAAGTTTCATGTCAAAAATACTTGTGAATAATGTATTAATTATTATTTTTTTAGTTATGGCCTCGAGCTCTAGGAGTACCATTACATTTTTTGGAGAAATTTTAAATTCATCTAAAAAGTTGCAAAATTTGACATGGATATTTCTGTTTCCATGTAAAATTCTTTGTAAAAGTTTCATGTCAAAAATACTTGTGAATAATTTATTAATTATTATTTTTTTTATTTTGGGCTCGAGCTCTAGGGGTACCATCACATTTTTTGGCAAAATTTTAAATTCATCAAAAATGTTGCAAAATTTTACATGGATGTTTCTGTAAGCATGTAAAATCCTTAAAGTTTCATGTCAAAAATACTTTTCCATAATGTATAAATTATTTTTTTTATTTTGGCCTCTAGCTATAGGGGTACCATCACATTTTTTGGCAAAATTTTAAATTCTTCAAAAAATTGCAAAACTTGACATGAATCTTTCTCTAAGCATGTAAAATCCTTTTTAAAAGTTTAATGTCAAAAATACTTGTCAATAATGTATAAAATATTATTATTTTTATTTTGGCCTAGAGCTCTAGGGTACTTTTTTGGCAAAATTTTAAATTCATCATAAAAGTTGCAAAATTTTACATGGATCTTTCTCTAAGCATGTAAAACCCTTTTTAAAAGTTTCATGTCAAAAATACTTGTCAATAATATATAAATTATTATTTTTTTAGTTTTGGCCTCAAGCTCTAGGGGTACCATCACATTCTTTTGCCAAATTTTAAATTCATCCAAAAAGTTGCAAAATTTGACATGGATATTTCTGTTTACATGTAAAATCCTTTGTAAATGTTTAATGTCAAAAATACTTGTCAATAATGTATTAATTATTATTTTTTTAGTTTTGGCCTCGAGCTCTAGGGGTACCAACACATTTTTTGGCCAAATTTTAAATTCATCAAAAAAGTTGCAAAATTTGACATGGATCTTTCCATAAGAATGTAAAATCCTTTGTAAAAGTTTCATGTCAAAAATACTTTTCAATTATGTATTAATTATTATTTATTTATTTTGGGCCTCGAGCTCTAGGAGTACCATCACATTTTTAGGGTTTAGGATTTAGGGTTTAGGGTTTAGGGTTTAGGGTTTTAGGGTTTAGGGTTTAGGGTTTTAGGGTTTTTAGGGTTTTAGGGTTTTAGGGTTTAGGGTTTAGGGTTTAGGGTTTTAGGGTTTAGGGTTTAGGGTTTAGGGTTTAGGGTTTTTTTATTTTTTTTAATGCAAGTCATTTGTCATTCTCATTGAGGCAACATACAATTAACCATCTTTCTCCCTTCTTTCTCTGTTTTTTTCCTACTAGTATAATACACCACAGAATTCTTGCAGCAATGGAGCTCAACACAAAAAATCTAGGCCGGTATTCATCCATCAACAATCTCTATACTCCAAGTATGCATGTGTGTGTGTGTGTGCGCGCACACACGCGCGCGCACACACACACACATATATGTTATACCATTTCTATGTTTTTTTTGCCCTTCATCAAAGAATGCATGCATTAATGAATGAATCAATCTTCCATCTTCTCCTCCTCCTCACCCACATCACTGGAACTAGCACTCTTCTCAGGCCCATCTAGTTTGGGCTTGTGAGAATACGGGCCTCTTCGAGAGGGCAGGGAAAGCGGGCCGTACTCTTGAGCGGAGAGGTAGTTAAGGCCGGTGACAATGTCAGCGACGAGGGGACGCATGTTCGGTTGCTCCTGCACGCACATCGCGGCAATGGCCAGGGCCTGGTACAGCCCTCTCACCAGAAACTGAGTTCCCAGTGCGGGGTCCGCCATCTGCCGGAATTTCTTCCGGTCTTTGAACAGCGGCCGTGCCCAAGCAACAAGATTTTGTTCTGGAGCAGGTTTAGTGTTGTCAATAGCTCTCCTACCAGTGATGAGCTCAAGAAGAACAACCCCAAAGCTGTAAACATCTGATTTGAATGTCAACTGACCAGTCATAGCATAATCCAGAGCGCAGTAACCGTACGTGCCCATCACCCTGGTTGAGACGTGGGTCTTGTCTCCGAGCGGGCCCACCTTCGCCAACCCAAAATCAGACAGTTTGGGATGATAATCCTCGGCAAGCAATATATTTGAGCACTTCAAATCGCGGCATATCACCGGCGGCTTCATCTTGTCATGTAAATACTCAAGCCCTTTTGCCGCACCTGTTGCTATCTTCATCCTCACATTCCAATCAAGAAGCTTCCATATAAATGGTCTTCCAATGAACCGAGAGGCATATACTCATAAACCAAAAGTCTTTGATCGCCCTCTGCACAATAACCGATTAGCTTAACAAGATTAGGGTGGTCGGCCATACTCAAGGTCAACACTTCAACAACAAACTCTCTAATCCCTTGACATCCATCGCGATCAAGCTGCTTTATAGCCACAATCTGGCCAGTATCTACCAGTCGACCTTTAAAGACTTTGCCAAATCCTCCTTCACCCAAAAAGAATTCTTGCTTGAAGTTTTCTGTGGCAGCCACGAGATCAGCAAAGGTAAACGTCCTCGCCTTGCCCGTTTCTGTTTCTCCTCCTCCTCCAGACTTCCTTTGATTGCAATCCTCGTCTTTGCCTGAAGTAGATTGATTTGCTGCATCATTGCATTCCTCCTTCTTCCCACCTTGGCAAGGGCTAACCCTTGTTGGTGTATCGGAGGCCGGCTGCGCAATTTCGTCCTTCTTGTGCTCCGTCCTTTTGGCGGCGGCGCTTCTCTTTCGGTCTTCTCTCTTGGCGGTGGATGAATCGCCACAACAAGGGAAAAAGCCCATGCCTGTTTTACCTTACCCCCGTCTTATACACAGCGCGCCTCAATTTCTATATTTGTATATATAAATCAAGTGATTCTCTATATATATGTGTGTGTCTCTCTCTTTGTCTCATTTCCCCTGTTCCTCAGATCGCGAAATGGAAAGGAAAGAGATAGGAGCGCGAGAATGTAAAGAAGAGTTTTTGCAAACCTTTGTCCTAGTTTTGGATTGGCTTAGGAGAGAAGGAGAAGGAAGAAGATGGGGAAAGAGAAACGGAACTTGCTCAACCCATCTTTTTGGGTTTAGGGTTTAGGGTTTAGGGTTTAGGGTTTTTTTTAATTAAAACATTTTATTAAAGAATCAAAGAATACAAGCGTCTGAACAAGTGGGAACATGCTCCTCACTTGTATAATAAGTAAGCAACAACCAAAGACCTAAAATGTGAAGCGCTTATCGGATATGGGAACATAGACTTAAGCGGAATTACAAAGCCGGCTTAGAACATTCCACTTAGATCTAGGAATAAAATCATTCCTGGAGCCCCAACCCCCGCAAGGGTAAGGCCTAAGGTCAGATAATCCGATCAAGAAAAATGTTCTAAGCCAAGAAATGCAATCGACATAAGTCCAGTCTAAAATCCAGAAAAGCCCAGCTAAAATGGAGAAATAAAATAATAAGTGCAAAAATAATCCTAGTGAGCCAAGAATGAGCATAAAATATTAGGCCCAAACCATGAGAATCCAAAAGCAGCCCAATCCAACTCGGCCCAATCCTATGAAGAAGCCCAAGTCCATGTAAGTTATGCAAGAAGTCCAAGGCCCAACAAAAGCCCAAGGTGTCATGTGAAGAGGAACCCAAAATATCAAAGTCCAAATCCAAGAAGTAGAAGGCCCAACCACGGACCCAACGAATCAAGGCCAGCGTCCAAATCAGCCCAAACAAAGAGGCCCAAAGCCCATCCATGAAACCGAAGTCCAGCAGCCACGGCCCAAAATAATCCAAGTCCAGTCTCTAGCCCATAGTAGTCAAAGCCCAGTCGAAACCCAAGTAACCAGATCAGCCGAAGTGGCCCAAACCCAGAAGAAGTCTAGCCATATAAAATATCCAAGTCCAAAGTGTGTGAAATCCAATGTAATCCAAAGATCCAGCATGATGAGGATGTCCAGAAGAAGAGAGATCCAAGAAATGAAGTCCAAGAGGATAGAAGAAAGAAAGAAAAGAGGTACCGCTATGGGTCAGTGGCCAACCCTTAGCCCATTACCGCCGGCAGATAGCGGGTGCTCTAATCCTCACGCGCAAGCACTGACGCAGGCGGAAGAAACCGCGCCGGGCCCCACCTAGCCTCCCGACGAGGGCACCGATTTGATGACGGTACCACGCATACGCACTTTCCGTGTGCGCCACGGGTGCTCAAATCCTCAATCCGCAAGCACTGACGGGCATCCTTTACCGCGGACGCGTACGTGCGCCTTTTGACCGCAGGCGCGGTCGTTAAGGCACTCAGGTTAAGTGCGAGATGGATAAAGCCTTTACCGGACAGCCACCTCTGCCCGGGCTAGGATGCCACATACCGCTGGCAACAACGGGCGCTAAAACCACAGACGCTAGCGCCAACGTACCCCAGGAGCCGCAGGAGCCGACGGGGACGAAAGAAACTCTGCAAGACTACGCCCATCATCTCACAAAGGCACCGTTCACCGTTGGTACAACACGTGGCCCCAAACCGCGGGAACCAACGGGCACCCCTTAACCGCGGGTACATACGTGCGCCTCTTAACCGCAGACGCGGTCGTTAAGGCACTCAAATACATGCAACTAGGGGTTACCCCCATCCTCATCAATGCGAAAGAAGGGCAGATCGTCCATAGGAAGGAGAGATCGTACCCGAATGTCAAGATCTTGCAGATTAGTAAACTCCCGCGTCCCCTCTGTACTATCCACGGCCCACAATGCCAACTCAGTCGTCGGGCCATTCGCCCCAACGTCACAATGAAACCACTGGACCGTCGCGATAGAACAGAAGAAACGCAGTCTAGCATAAACATCATGAAGGTACCACGGGGTACCCTCTCTAAAGAAACAAGCTAACTCTGAATGGTGGGATTCCACATGGATATGCAAGAAGGACTGGGATATACACCACTGAATACACCGAAGAAGCACGTCCATCCCTCCACGCTCCACTGGGTCCCACCTGAATGCAATAGAAGACACAGCATAGAGAAACTTACCTGTCGAGTCACGTACGATCGCTGCATATGCCCCACGGAGCGGAGCCCTCGCCACATTTACCTTGATGGCACCATCCGGCGGTGGGACCCACCGAATCGGCACCACCCTCCTGCGTCCAGATCCTCGTCGAACATGCTCCATTATCACCGACCATCGGGGAGGCAAAAGACCTCCGCTAGGCCAGCGACGATAGATACACTCCGACACCGCCGTAGCCACCCGAAAGATAATGCGTGCGAAGTTGGGCCGAGCATCCCCATACTTGCACGCAGCATAGTGCGTCCAAAGCTCCCAAAGAATGATCATCGGCAGGCGGTGGAACAGGAACGAGAGCATCCTGCTCTTCGGCCTCTGCGCCCACCATATCCCCATGACAGACCTCAAACTATGATGTGCACCCTTGATATGGGCAGACTCTGTGAAAAATGTCCAAACACGTCGCGCCATGCTCCCCTGATAGAATATATGCGTAATGGTCTCCCTACCTGGCGACGAACAGCAGAAACAACGAGAGGGCAAAACAATCCCAAATCTCGCCAGGACATCATCAGTGGGAATGCGTCTCTCCAACACGCGCCATACCAAGAAGGACATCTTCCAAGGTAGGTGCCGCTGCCAGCACCTCTTAAACACAGTATCCTCAACATCATCAACCCTCCTCGGCCTAAGCAGCTCCTTAGCAGAAGCAAGAGTAAACTTCCCATCCGTAGAGGGGGTACAAATCGGAATATCGGCATGATCAGAGACAAGTGATGGAGGCTCAAGGCGCAACTGCCGTAGCAGGTCAGGTGGCAACGCATCATGGTCGATCATAAAATCAGAGCGATACATATCGCTCACTCCATCCGTCCAATATCCACTGCAGCCGTCGACCTGGCAATGTAAGGCACCCAGTCCAGACCATGTATCCCACCAGAAATTAGACGTGCCAGAAAGGACACGCCATCGAATCATAGGTTCGACCACAGCCCGAACATCCAGCATACGCTTCCAAGTGTGTGAATCATCATCAAGGCGCTGTTTGGACACAGGGTGGACGCGGCTGCAATACTTAGCCCTCATGAAAGCCGTCCAGATAGAATCCTGCGTCCTAAAATTCCACCAGAGCTTGGCCGAACAGGACTTAGCCAAAGTCATAAAATCAAGGAAGCCGACCCCACCCTCTCTCATCGGACGAGCCAAAGTCTTCCAAGATCCCCAATGATAGCGTCGCGTATCTCCCAAGCCAGACCAAAAAAATCGGGCCATGATAGACTCCATCTCACGTAGCACCGCTTTGGGAGGGAAATGTGCAGCAAGCAAGTGTTTCGGGATCGCCTGTAGAACACTCTTAATCATAATAGCCTCCCCCCCGGAGAGAGGTAGCGCCCCATCCACGCACAACACTTATCCCGCATCTTCTTCAGAACAGGCTCAAAGTAATGAATATGCTTCCGACCATGATAAATAGGACAACCAAGATAAGTGAATGGAAGGACATCCAATGAACACCCGAGAGTATCTCGAACACGCTCCAGCGCGGGTGCCAACGCCTTAGGGTGCATATAGAAGGCACTCTTAGCGAAACTGACGGCCTGGCCTGAAATCTGCTCATATGACTGTAAAACTGCTCGAACCCTCTCCTAGGTGTTCCCCCTCGCCGAAGTGAAGATGACAATATCATCAGCGTAGGCAAGGTGATGGATATGTGGTGCATCACTGGGCTGTGTAAACCGAGCAACTGCAGGATCTGTATACAGCTGGGCCAAAGAGCGAGAAAGAACCTCCGCTGATAGAATGAACAAGGACGGAGAGAGTGGGTCGCCCTGCTGCAAACCCCTCGTCGAATGAAAAAAGCCCTCTCGGATCCCATTGATAATGACTGAGTACCATATATTCGAGATGGCCCGATAGACCAAATCGATCCAAGTCTCTGAAAATCCAAATCGGTGCAATACTGACATCAAGAAAAACCAAGAGACCCGATCATAGGCCTTCATCATGTCCAGCTTCAGAATGACATCTTCATTATCCACCCGCATCCCGTGACACATCTCCTGAGCTAAAAGAATATTATCAGTGATAGAACGCCCCGCCACAAACCCGCTCTGATGCGGGGAAAGCAGTCGGGGAAGCACAGAAGCCAAGCGAACCACCATAATCTTCGTGATGATCTTCTTGCAGTAATTGCAAAAACTAATGGGTCTAAAGTCCGCAAAGGTCACAGGATTGGGCTTCTTGGGCAACAAAACAATAGAAGTGTGCGTGAGGGAACGAGTCAGATCGTGGCCCAGGAAAAAAGCCTGCACCATCGCCAATAAGTCCATGCAAATGATCGTCCAAGCGGCCTTATAAAAAGCCCCAGTAAAGCCATCAGGTCCTGCGGCACTCAGAGAATCCATGGCAAAGACCGCAGACTTGACCTCCTCCATCTCCGGAACAGCACATAGCCGCTCATTATCATCAGCAGTGACCAGCCGTGGAATCATGTCTAAGGCCGAAGATGTGACACTAGGATCTGCAGTGAACATGGCCTGAAAAAAGGCAATCGCCTGCGACGCAATCGCAGCTCTCTCCGTGACCCACTGCCCACGATCATCCTGTATGCGGTGAATGTAAAGCTTCTGCCGGCGAGCCTTCACAACAGAGTGAAAATACCCCGAGTTCCTCTCCCCATCCGTCACCCATTTCGCATGGGCTTTCTGACGCCAAAACTCATCCTCGATACGATACTGGCGCTTCAAAAGTGCAGAGCGCCGCTTAAACTCAATATAGGTCTCATCGGAGGAATCTGTCTGCAGCTGCAGCTCAATATCCCGCACATCCTGCTCAAGCGCCTTAAGCCTATCAAATATGTGACCGAAGGTGTCTCGGTTCCATCCCTTCAAGCTATGTGCCAAACGCTTGAGCTTAGCACCAAAAACAAACATGGGACTGCCCGTCATATCCTCCCGCCAAGAATCGGCCACCACTCTCTGAAAATCTTCGTGCTCTGTCCAGACATTAAGGAAAGTGAAAGGCCGCGCAGGAGGACGCTCATGAGACTTACACTCCACCAACAGTGGAGCATGA